GCTGGGCCCTTGCTACTCGCCAGGCGCCCTCATGGGCTCTGATGCAGGTGCCCCCTCCTGCTCCTTCGAAGAGGAAGCGCATTCCTCCCCAAGAGGAGACTCAGGCTGGAGCTGCCTGCCCGGGGTCCCGCAGCGAGGGAGGGGTGCGGAGGCTCAGAGCTCAGGACAGCCCGAGCTTGCGGCTTGGGCCGTTTCCTGTCATCTGTCTAGCTCAGGCTCAGTGTGAGCCGAATGAGGGCCATGGCACCCCGTGCACTCCTCACAGCTTCTGAGCTGGCCTGGCCCCCGACGCCGCCTCCTGGGCCCTGCTCTCTCTCTACCCCACACTACACTTGGGCACCAAGGTGAGGATCATCCTCGGCACTAGGCAGCAGCTCCCTGGAGGGTTTCCTGGTTTTGGCACGACCTTTGACCCTTGCACACCGTGTCTTGTCCATGGCAGACGCCCTATAAATAGTTTATGGCCCCTACCTATGCCCTGCTGCCCTATTTTCCCCCTTTAATAGGGCCTCCTGGAGCGTTGCTAAGGCGGCACATCCAGCAATTAGGAGGATGACATCACTTCTCAGTCTGCACCTGAAGTTGTTCTTCTCTAGAACAATTTTCACCTTGGGAGGAGGAAGGTAACGAGGGAGCGATTCTCACGCCCAGAGGAGGAAATGGAGCCGCGTGTGACCGCACGGTGCTCTTTTATGACATCTCTTATCAGCCAATAAACTCTTGCTCAACCTCGTGGCCGGCCAACATCCCACCGCGTCAGGCGCTGAGATGGGAACAGACCGCACCGGATCCCAAGTTCAACAGACAGGGCAGCCACACCTTGGGTCTCACACATCAAGGCGGGGCCGAGGGGAGAGGGCCAGAAAAGGTGCTGAGTGTCTGTGGCTGGAGATGGGGCTGGCTGGTGATGGGGTGCCCCCCGCCTCTCCCCCAAGCCCAGCCTGCTGGCCCCTCCCAGTACCTCTGGATCCACTGGTCCTTGTAGGAAGCGCTGAAGGAAATGCCCGCAAAAAGTTCTGACTTGTTGAAGCTCACATGGAAATGGTCCCAGAATGGGCCAAAGGGGTTTCCTTCCTACAGAGAGAGAGACAGAGAGAGGGGGAGAGAGAGGGAGGGAGAGAGCGAGTGAGCTGAGAGGCAGGCTACCGGGGAGGCAAAGCTGTCTGGGGTGGGGGCGATGGAAAGGCAGGTGGGGCACCCCTGGACAATTCGATCCAGACTGAAACCTCCTCCAGGGGTGGCCACTTTGTAGCTCATGGGTGGACGCCGAGGAGAGCAGCTGAACTTCCTGCTGGGTTTCTGGCAGGTGCCTTGCCTCCTCACACGCCCCACCCAGCCAGCCCAGTGGCATCTCTGGTGTGTGTGTGTGGGGGGGGAGGGAGGAGTAAGGGGTAGGGAGCTCAAGGACCTTGGATTTGGGACTAAGAGCTGGAATGTCCAGATGTCCAGATACTTTCCAGGCCAGCTGTCCCAGTGCCATCCTTTCCAACATAGAAACCAAGGACCAGGTCCTCCTGCTCAGACTCGAACACAAGCAATGTTCGGGAAGACTTACTTGGGAACTACTGTATTCCCAGAGGGCCAGGCATTTGTCAAGTTCTACTAATTAGAACGTGACCACCTCTCGAGTGCCCAGTCAGCGACAGGACAGGGTGCAGGTTGAGAGGGTGGTCAGTGGAGCCAACTGGCCTGTCGCTGAAACCCGGCTCCACTACTTAGTTGCTGTGGGACCTTGGGCAAGGGATTGAGCCTCTCTGTGCTGGGCTCGGCTCCCTCTGGAAGGGGGCTGTCAAGAGTGCTTTCCTCAGAGCGCTGCTAGCGCCGTGGAGAGTTAGTCTGAGGACGGCTTGCTGTGCGGCACTGGCACAGAGGCGGGCTGTGCAAGCAGGAGTGTTACTGTTAATGTGTCACCGCTCAGAAGCACTCTGGCACCCGGGCCGCCTGACGCTCGATGAGGGGATTTTCACACCCTCTTCAGCGTGTGAAAACACAGGCCCAGAGCGGCAAAGTCATTTGCCTATGGTGACACCAGTGATACATGCCCGCGATGCCTTCACTCTCCATCTTGCTACCCTCAGCACTGCTGATGCCCTCCCGCACTGGGTGCCACCACCCAGGGGCCCAGAGGACACGGAGTGGGATGAGGAGGTCCCTCGGCCCCCCAGGACCCACCTTCATGGGGCACGTTCTTTTATCAGGGCTCCTCTGGGCCGCCACCTCAAAGCAGTATGCCACCCTCCTCTCGGGGGGCCAGTGGGTGGGGGCCAGCTTCTCCATGAAGTCCTCCAGGCTGATGACCCGATGGTAGGCCTGGAGGGCATCCAGCTTGAAGTACTTCTCGTAGGACACGTGGAGCTGCAGGAATGGGGAGGAGAGGGGGCAGAGGCCCTTCCTTAGGGTCCCAGAGGCTCTTTCAGAGACACGCCCACAAGACCACACCCACCAGGTCCCGTGGGGGCAGCTTGCGCTGCATGCGGAGGAACTTCCGGCGAAAGACCTCGATGTGAAGAAAGAAGACGGCCTGGGAAAAGATATTCCCAAATGTAGAGAGGATTTATTTATTTTAAAAAGGCAATATCCCTTCAGGGTAAAAATGCCTGCTGGGCTCATGGGGGGGTGTGTGTGTCAGGCAGGGGCGGGGCGAGGGGGACCACGGGGGAGAGGCACATGATTCAAGCCAAAATGTGGACAGAGATACAGGCCATCAATTCCCAGCCAAGGCATACCACATAAACCCCTGGAACTAATGCTCTGGGATCATCTTTCCACCCTCAGCCAGAAACCTCACCCGAAGTCCTCTTAAAACCCAACCCAAGCTGAGCCTCATTAGGAAAAATGTCTGCCTCCGGCAGCAGGCTCTTTAAAGAACGATCTCTACTGGATCAGATAGCAATAGGAAAGATTAGATGGGGACCTCAGGGGACAGTGAGTTTATGTTAATGGCACAGCTCAGCAAAGGAGGGGGAGGATGGTTGTTGCACCACTGGAAGGACCTGGCCAATGTCACCGGCTTGTACCTGCTGGAAACTCTTTTGCTGTGTACGTTCAAGAAATACTTACAACTTTGAAAGAAGGAAGAAACGAGAGAGACCCAAAGAGACACACAACCTCATGTGGAATTAGGAAGGTTATGAGAAGGCACCACTTCTTAGCCAGGAGACCACTGCAAACCTAGAAATGGGACTTCTTAGTGCTGGAAAGGAAGTAGGGAAGTGGGCACTCTCATCTATGCTGGTGCATTCTGGGACCACCCCTTGGGAACGCAATCTGGCAGGATGAAGGGACCCTGCTGGCGCTGTGGAGTCCGTTCGTATTGGGCCGTTAATGGGCTCCACTGGAGGAAGGAGGAGGCTTTCTGCTCCTGTAAAGATGTATAGCCTTGCGAACCCACAGGGCAGTTCTACTTGGCCCAGTGGGGTGGCGATGAGTCAGGACCAACTCCATGGCAGTGGATTTGTTTCTCGGATTGTCCCAATCCTAGGCGTTTTCCCTAGAGATGAAGCGATCCTGTGAACGGGCTCAAGTGCTGAGTGCTAGTGGCGGGCATGAGGATGGTGGCAGGACCAGTCTCAGTATGGCTCCGGAATTGAACATTTCCCATTAGCACACTGGGGAATCAAACACTGGACTCTGTCTTTTTTTTTTTTTTTGACTCTGTCTTATAGGTCAGTGCTTGCCAAGTTCAGGAGGGTAAAGGATTCTCTGACAAAATGGTTCACAAACCAAAAAACCAAACTCACTTCCATCAAGACGAGCCCGACTTATTAGTGACCCTATGGGACAGGGTAGAACTGCCCCTGTGGGTTTTCTAGACTGTAGCGCTTTACGGGAGTAGAAAGCCCTGTCTTTCCCTTCAAGCAGCAGGTGATTTTGAACTGCCGACCTTGTGGTTTGCAGCACAACACGTAACCACTGTGCCACCAGGGCTCCTGGGAAATGCTGACACACCAGGACATCTCAGGGCCTTGGATTCACTAGGGTGCATTGGGGGTCTGCCAGTCTGGGGGTGGAAGTGGCCTGGGGAATTAAGAATGCAATCTCCCAACTAATCTAACCACCGAACCCTTTCAGCATGGGCCACTGGTGTGCCAAGGGAACAGACTTTGGGAATCTTAACCACCAGCAGGACAGCATTGCCAGAGGACTTCAAGTAGAGATAACGAGCTGTGATTGTTTGGAAGCTCACACTGGCGGCTGAGGGAAGCCTGCCTGGATGGTGAGCACAAACGCAGAGGGGGAGGTCCTCGAGGTAGTCCTTGTATATGTCCAAGTACACACTCGTCATGGACTGACTGAGCACCTACTATGTGCCCACACAACAGAGAAGCTGGGGCAGGTGAAAAGATGCAAAGGCAGGCCAAGCAGAGGGTGTGGGTCTGCGTGCTTATGGCAAGAGGGCATGGGGTGACCTCCAGGTTCCTGGCTTCACACTCAGAGTAAGCGAGGTGGCATAAACTAAGGCTGGGAACAGACAGTGGTGACACAGGCTTGAGGGGAGCCATGCTGAGTCTGGTTTTGTGAACTTAGTGGACTCAAGGGTGTGCGGGCAGACACAGGCAGGTAAATCTGGGAGGTACAGGGTGATAGTCGGAGAGGTGACACAAGTTTGTCATGAAGCTAATGTGGTCATCAGAGAAACTGGCCTGTCCCGAGTGCTGACTCAGCACCAGGCTGGCTCACCCGGGCTGGGGGATGTCAGGTTCGTGGGCCGTATCGAAAAATTCACCCGAAAAATTCAATGCTGCTGAATCCATGCCGACTCATAATGACCCTGTGGTGGCACAGTGGTTACACCTTGGGCTGCTAACTACAAGGTCAGCAGTTTGAAACCACCAGTGGCTCCGAGGGAGAAAGAGAGGGCTTTCAATTCCTCTAAGAGTGACAGTCTTGGATACCCACAGGGGCAGGTTTACCTTGTCCCATAGAGTCATGATGAGTTACAAGGATTGGCTCCTTGGATTCTAAGAGGCACTAGTAAGTAGGGGTTGGGGCCTGCCATGTTCTCAAGGGCGGGGGTTATCGAGATAGTGGTGGCAGGGCAGGGGAGAAGGAACTCCAGGGTGTGGGACCAGCACCTGCCCAAGAGGTTTTCCAGCAACTGAAGAAGACAGGAATATATTCTTATAAGGGAGAGGGGAAGTGGAGGCAAGGCAGGTGCTCATCTTGCCCTGGGCACTATTCTAAACCCTTTAAGTACCTTAACTGGGTTAACATTCTCCCAACAACCCTGGGAGTTTTACAAATGAGGAAACTAGGGTTCTGAGACGTTTGGTAACTTGCCCGAGGCTGTGAAGCCTGTGAATGGCCAAGCTGGAATGCAACCCCCCTCTGTCCAACACCAGAGCTGTGGCCTGACGGGAAGCCTCTGTTTCCAGCATGGTTTGGCCTTACCCTCTGAGCAGCCTACTGCTACCAGTCAAGGAGCAGAGGGGGGTGGGAGACAGCACTGCAGCCGGGAAATAGAAATGGGCACCCTTAAGCAGCGCTCTGAAGGCACAAGGTGCAGGCTCCGGACAAATGTCCATCCTTGTTTGGATGACTCCACAGCAGTGGGTTTGGTGGGCTGTTATGCCTTGGAAGTCCTCTCTGGGTGGGGGAAGGGCAAGCCTGAGGCGTGACAGGTGAAAGGCCAGCGAAGGACGGGAGTCCAGCAGAGGTGTGGAGGGCTGGGGATGAGGTCAGTGGGGCGGCACTCACGTTGGTGAAGGGAGGCTTGTGATGCTGGTACTCAATCCAGGGCGGCACTGCCAAGGTGCGGTTCAGCAGTTTGGCAAATGCCAGGGAGCCCAAGAAGTGATCAGCCTGGTTCCCAAAACGTCCTGCAAGGGATACACTGGGAGGTGAGGTGTGGTCCGGCGAGAGGAGAGACTGGACCACACTGAGTTCAGAAAGGAGAGAGTCTGGAGTGGGGAAGGCCAGGAAAGTGGGGAGCCCGAGATCAAACCTGGACTCCTGCGTCTGACATTCAAGGCCTTCCAAGCCCCACCCCTTCAGCTTCTGCCCCTGCCTCCCCAAGTTCCTAACCTGTTCCCAAACATGCTCTCTGCTTCCACCCCCATCCCCAAAGTCCTTGCTGCTCCCTCAGCCAGGAGGTCCCTTCGACCTCTCTCCGCCCATCTGCAGAGGAGGTGACCCCAGTGCCTCACTCATTGGGGTCCTTTCAGCAGGCCCCAGCACTCTCCCCACCACCCCTCCAGGAGGCGCTGAGTTACTTATGGTCTTCACTTTTCCTTCAAGGCCCTCATACTTCCTGCTCCCCTTTGCTACCCCAGCCTGGCATCCATTCAGTCATTCCTCAAATAGTCTTGAGGGCCACATTGTGCCAGGCTCTGGCCTAGGTGCTGAGATGCACGGCACTCACTGTCCAGCGGGGGAGACCCGAACATGGACCCAGACAAATACATAATGGGATAGGCTTGGCCGTGGCAAGAAAGAGGTAGCTAGGCAGAGAGGGGAAGGAGAAAGTGCCCCAGCCATGGGAGAGGCTAAGGAAGTCTGCACAAGAGATTTGTACGGCTGCAGCTGGAGGAGGAGGGGCGGAGGCCAAGATGACCAACGTGGGCCAAAGCACGCAGAGCCCTCAAGGCCATGACCAGGGCTATGAAAGTCTTTGGAGAGTTTAAAAAATGGGGCAGGAGTGGTTTAGTGGCAGAATTCCCACCTTCCCTGTAGGTGGTAGTTTGCATGTGTTTCAGTTCAGCTTCCAGATAGACACACTAAGATGAAAGGCCTGGCAATCTACTCCCAAAAACCACACAGTGAAAACCGTATGATTTACAATGGTCTGATCCACAGGAAATCAAGGGACTGGAGCAGGACCAGGCATGGGGTCACCATGAGTTTTATAATAATCACCGATCATTTGAATTTGAGGATTAGATGGTAATTCTCAACCAGCCCTTTGAGCCTAACTTTCCCCCTGCTCAAGTTTATTTTTCCATAGCATTTATCACCTTCTAAGATACTGGTGGTGTACGGGTTATGTGTTGGGTTCCTAATAGCAAGGCCAGTAGTATGAAACGACAAGCGGCTCCTTGGGAGAAAGATGAGGCTTTCTACTCCCATAAAGAGCTACAATCTCAGAAACCTATGGGGGCAGTTCCACCCTGTCCTATAGGGTCCTTATGAGTCAAAAATCTCACTTGATGGCAGTGAGTTAGAGGGTTTTTTTTGAAGATACTATGCAGGAGCTGTGGTGGCGTTGCAGGATAAAACATTGGATTAGCTAACTGCAAAGTCCAGAGTTCAAACCCACTGTGCAGTCTTGATAAGAAAGATGAGGCTGTCTGCTCCCAACGTGGACACCCTAGGGAGTCCAACTCTGCCCTATAGGATTGCTCTGGGTCAGCAACTACTCAATGGCAGAGGGAAGGCACCATGACATTTATTTATGATATTGTGTTTATCTTTTAGCGTGTTCTCCCTATTAAAATTAAGGGACTACCAAGGCAAGGAGTTTTGCTGTTTTATTCACTGCCACCCAGCCCAGAGAGCAGGGCCCAGGACAAAGGAGGCATCCCATAAATATTTGTAGAATGAATGGAAGAATTCCAGGAACCAGCGTGGGTGAGTGACATCAAGTTCTGCCTCACTAATTCCACTTACTAAACTCAGGGCTGGCTTCGATCATAGCTCCGCCCATCACTACCTGCAAGACCTCCTGCTATACACATAACTTCTCGGGGTCTCAGTTTTCTCATCTGTCAAATGGGAGGTTGGATACAGTGACTCCCCCCTCAGCACCCTGGCAATTGGCTACCCGAGAAGAGGAACGAGCCTTGCTCCGGTGCTGGGGATCGCTCCTGGACCTGTTAAGGCATCAGCGGACACCACGGTGGAGTGCTTTCGCCTTTCCTGGCCTCAGTTTCCCCATCTGAGCAGAGGGCTCGGGAGGCCTTACCCATGCAGGGGCAGTAGAGCAGGTAACCCGCCGGATCCCAAGAGCCTGCAGGCAGCCCTGGGAGCGGCAAAAGCAGCAGCAGGAGGGACAGGCGCGGCGGCAAAGGCAACGGTGCCCACGCGGCGGCGCCCATGTCGGCTGCGGAGCCTGAGCGCGCCCCAGCGTGGAGGCGGGGAGGGAAAAGAGGGACGCGAGCGTCCGCCCCGCTCCCAGCGGTCCCCGCGCGCCGCCCGCGCACCGCCCCGGCCGCTCTAGCCCGCGGGCGGGCGGGACCATAGAGAACCCGCGGCACCGCCCCCTCCACGGCCGCCCGCTCGCGCGGCTCCCACAATGCACCGCACAATGGCCCGACCGCCGCCACTACCGGGGCCTGAGCGGGCCTGGCGGAGCCGGAGCGCGGCCCGGCCCGCAGCGCGGGGCCCTGAGCGCGGTGAGTGCCGGCGGGGGCCCCAGGGGACGGCGGGGAGCGGGGCGGGGGGCCGTCTTGTCGCTCCCGCGCGCCCGGCACCCGGAGCGGCGGCGCCCCTTACCGCGGGCCCCTCAGCGCGGTCGCCCACACCCCCGACTGGGGCCCCTTCTGCGTCAACCCGGGCCCAGATACGCCCCAGGGTGACAGAAACTACCCCTGAACCCGATACCTAGGTCCAAGTGACCCGAATAAGCCCGCCTGGTCCCCTTCCTTCAGAGACCTGGGGACGCAGCCCTGAGGGTCCCCCACCCCGACCCCCAGGCTCCCTGGAGACGTAGATAACGCGCTGCAGACCTTCCCAGGGACCCGGGTCTGGGGGACGCAGATAAGCTGCACCTGCTCCCTCCCCTCGGACACGCCTACTCAGACCCACAGAACCCCCCTTTCCCACTCCGGATAGGCCCCTCACGACCGTCTTTTACTTTCCGGATCAGCACAGCCGCGCTCGAAGCTTCCTTCAAATACTTGGATCCGGGGGATCCAAATGAGCCCCATCTAGCCGCCGCCGCCGCCGCGGCCATTCTGCCAAACCTTAGACATCTTCCATCCGGATGCCCGTTTTTGAGACTCTTGAGATCCAACGAATTAATTTCTTAGTATTCTCAAACCCTGGAGTCCTCCAGGCCCATGATCCTCATGAGGTTTTGGTTTTTTTGGGGGGTTGGGGTAGGGTGGTCCTCCCTTGGAGACCCGGATAACTTGCTCCTGGGTCCTTCCTTGCCAGACTTTAGACTTGCTCTGCCTTACCACCTCTGAGACCCATCCTAGCCTCCTTCCTGAACTCCCACCCTTTCACTGACCGCCACTCACTCCTGTCTCTGCCAGACCGCGGGAATTGTACTTTTCCCACCGTCCTGCGGGATGGCCCACCACTGGGCAGGGAACGGGAAGCTGTGAGGCAGCAGAATGGGTGGGGGCGGGGTGGGGTGGGCAACTAGCTTGAGGGAGTTGTGCTTTCATCAGGAGGTGTAGTCTGTGTCCTGGCTTGTATGTTTTTCCACCTGTCTGCTTGGGGCTGATAGAGTCCGAACTGGCCCCCAGTTTCGAACAGCCCCCAAGCCCCCCCCTTCCAAAGTGAAGGCACCAGGTGGAGTGGGGATGAGGGGCAGTCTGCAATCAGAGGGTCCTCCTAAAAAGTGGGGTGGTGGTGAATAGCAGCCATTTGCCCAAGGCCTCCCAGGAGTGGGAGGCAGTGGGAATCTGAGAAAAAAGTGAATTAAGGGAACCCCGATGAGGGCTCATCTACAACTGGCCCAACTCTCCACCCGAGAGAGTAAATCCAACCCCTGTTAATCCTGTTTGATGTCTCTTGGAATGATGCAAGTCATTGAGACTCTGCAGCCTCCCTGTAATTTAATTCTCCCACCACTTTGAGGAAGGGGTGGGGGAGTGTGTGTGTCTTAGGGGGTGGGGTGGGGAGCAGCGTTCAGTAGTGAATCTTTCCCTTTCCTCCCACTGTTTGCCTGCCTGCCAGCCTGCCTGGGCCTGTGTCTTTGGGATTTGTTTCTGGAGTTCAGGTCAGGACCCAGGTTTTTGTTGTTATTTTTTCACACACCCCCCCCCTTTAAGCCTATTTATAATTTCCCAGTTGCTATTTTAGGTTCCGTTTAAGAGAAGGCTCTGACCCCCCTACGGCTGCTTGTGGGTGTGTTTCCTTCTCTTTGGCAGGTGTTGAATTGAGGTCTTCAGAGCTCCAAGGAGCACTTGTGCCAGCCGGGAGGGATAAAAGCTATTTTAGGGTAGTCACTGAAGTGGAGCTATTAATCCTCTGTGGGTCTCTGGTTAAGAACTCTCCCTCGGAGCTTAACCCTTTTCTTGCTGCCCCAACTGTCAATAGTTTTGGGGGTGGGGTGGGGTGGGGACCAAGCCTGGAAGGGAGAAACATGCAACTCAGTACAAAGGCAAAGATAATGCTCCCTTTTGTCGGTGCTCACAGTGGGTTTCTGCCCAGCCTTGCTTACCTGACCAAAATAATCCTCACAGCAAGCCTGTGAGGTCAGTATTTTTAGGTTTACAGATGAGGCAACAGACGTAGACTGGAGAAAGAACACAGTTTCTATAGGGATGATGTAACACCATAAAACCAGCTTCCCTCAGAGGGCAGCACGCCTCATGGCAGACAGCCTGGGCAGCAGTGGTCTCTCTGAGCATCCAGAGAGGCCTGGGGCACCATTTGCAGCAGACATTCCTAATTTGGGAATGGAGCCTCAATAACAAGAAGAGGTTCTTGAAGTAAGCCTCTGGCCCAGACAAGGTGCTGGAGGAAGAGAAAATAAAGCAGGGGGAGGGGGCCCTGGGCGAGTCTGCTGGAGAAAGGGGAAGGCTGCATTCTAGGGAGTGTGGGAAGGGAAGGAAACTTGCTCTGTGGCCTGAGAAGAGCATTGGGGGTGGGGAGGAGGGGGCAGTACAACAGGACTCTTCAGGCCGTGGTGCAGGAAAGAGGCAGACGCAATTGAGGCCTTAGTGCGGGCACTGCGTGGACTCCACACACTTTTGAAGCCAGCCACTTTGAAGAGTCATTTCCTTCCCCCCAGAATATCCTGTGGGAAGGAAGTCAAAATACTCTCGAGACTGGGGGGTGTGGGGACCTCAGGTTCAGAGAAAAGAAGGAGCCTACCCACAGGTGAGTGAGTGGCAGCCTTCTGATAGCAAGTCCAAGGTTCTCCATGCTGCCTCCCTCTTCAGACCAGGTGCCAGGAGCAACCTCAGGCTGAAAACAGACAGAGTTACACCAGCAACTGGGAGGGATTGTGTTTGTTTTATGGGAACAGGTTCTGTCAGCTTTGCCATAGTTGTTAAGTTCAAGTGTGAGACCAGAAGAGCAGCTTTGGGAGGGCAGCAGAATTCCTCCCCAGTTTTGCCAAGGGAGAAGTCTGAAGGAACAGGCCAACTCAGGAATCTCCCTAGTTCAGGGGAGTCCGCAGACCAGGCTCGGGAAGAGGTACTAGACACACCCACCACCCACCACCACCCACCCACACACCTCCAAGGGTCCCGAAGGCTCATAGCTTTGGTTTTCGGACAGCCTGCCAGGGCTGATAGGTAAGGACTTGACCGTACCTTTCAGAGAGCTGAGGGGGCTGGGAAGAGGGGCTTGGCTAATGCTCTCTTTAAAGACTCAGCCTGGGAAATGCAGATCTTGGCGAGCACGTGGCAGCCACCCCTGCGTCCCAGTGAGCGTGCCTCTTTCCTAGAAGCCTGTTACTCACCCTTTCAGTAAGAGCTCGTTGAACATATGTGCTTATACAGGAGAACAGAGGAGGTCGACGTGTGGGAGGCAGGGGACGGACAGTTCTCTTTCTGAGTTTGTGTGGAGTTTCCAGGCCTGCGCGTCCCTGTCACATCAGCCCAAATGATGCAGCTGGCCTCTCTTCCCTCTAGCTCAGTGGTTCTCAACTTTCCTAGTGCTGCGACCCTTTCATACAGTTCCTCATGTTGTGGTGACCCCCCCAACCATAACCTTATTTTCGTTGCTACTTCATAACTGTAATTTTCCTACTGTTGTGAATCAGGCAACCCCTGTGAAAGGGTTGTTGGCCCGCCCCAGGGGTCATGACCCACAGGTTGAGGACTGCTGCTCTTGTCCAGTTTTCCACAGGCTGGGGTGCATGATTTTGGGGGGGAGACCACAGTTTGCCTTTAAATGTGGGGGAGAATCTCCCTCTCACACACCAAAAAGACGTGCACACTCGTGGTGCTCACCTCTGCTGGTAGTATAAACGGGTAATTCCACCTTTGCAAAGGCCAAGGGAATTCAAACGAGGCAAGCAAGACATCAGAGACCTTTGAGGTTTATAGAGAAGCTGGCAAATACACTATGACGATTCGAAAGCTCAAGTGGCACTGGTTTTCAGCGCTACCAATTCCTCCCAGCATGTGATGTGCACCAGATGCAGCTACCTTTGTGCAGCTCGTTCTGGGTAAATCTTTGCCCATGATGGGGAAATGTTTATCATGTTACACTGTATGCTTCCTCAACAACAGGAGTGGTTTCCGAGCAGGACAGGGCACATGTTAATGATGAGCGAAGCTCTCTGGGCCATAAACCCGCTGATCCCATCATCTCGTTCCTGGCCAGTCTGCCGGATGAAATGGCCACTGTAAGCAGCAGGTGCTAATGAGCTGAGCAAGCATTCTCTGGCCCCCCTGTGCCTGAGGTCCCTGCCTGGGTCCCTATGGACAGTCTCCAGACACTCTTTTGCACCCTTCACGGAATAACAGCCTCATGATCCAGTGTTGGTGTGGCTTTAGAGGGAATCCCCCTTTCGTAGCAGGCTGCTCTGCAGTTGGTGATCTGTGGCGAGCCTGTGAGTATCAGATTCATTCTGTGGTCCCCCTTTTGATCATCAGTATGGTAATGCCCATCCTCCTGTCCTCTGAGTTGTTGCCAAGAAAGGACGTGTCACTCTTGGGTTGAGCCCTCCCAGCCCTATCGCTCCCCAATCAGAGGAAAACCTTGGAAAAGCTCAGTGGCTCTCCCCACTTTGGAAAGGCTGCGAACCCAGTTTGAGACTGAACATGCTAGGCCTTGGTTAACCCCTGAAAATCAGCTTGCTTTCATGGATTCATATTTTTCATCTTAAAAAATATAATAAAAGGTAGAGATTCATTGACTGGATGATAGGCATATGGAGATAAAGATAAAGACCATCTGATTCCTTGAAGAATGTCTGTTGGAGGAGGTTAAGTAATTCTAATGTACGTATGTTACCTGTTCATGTGCCATGAGGATCCAGAAGAAGAGTCACTTAGTGCCTTGGGGTGTTGGGCAGACTGAGGTGAAGAGACCCCGAGAGGTGGTAGGTAGTCAGTCAAGGTGAGCTAGTTCTGGCGGAAGGAAATGCTAAGTGTCCACCATTGCTGCTTCCGACAGACCCTCCCCATGTTGAGGTGCTGTATGGGGGCTGATTTTTCAAGGTGTGTGTTTCTAAAGAAGGCTTCTTTTCCCTTTTCTGTTGCCTTTTGGGCATTTCCTTGCTCCTTAGAGCTTTGAGAAGAGAATTGTGGAATGTGGGGATGAGGGGGAGGTAGGCTGAGAAGGCATTGCCATCGTGGAGTTTAGTAGGAAGGATGTAAAAGTGAAGTCAGATCAGAAAGGCTGGCGTCTTAGGGCTTGTACTTCCTCAGATGTTCTCGTTTCTGAGGAGGCTCAGTGATACTAGCAACATCATCAATTCCAATGAAGCACTTGTGGCCAAGTCCTTTGCACCTGTCATTAATCTTCCTCCATCGGGGATTCAGCGCGTCAATGTGCTCATTCTAAATGCACAGACAGTGCGGAGAAGGAAGGGATCTACTGAGATTCACAGAGATTCCAAGCGGAAGGGCTGGGATTGGAATGGGGATCTGTCGGCCTCAGGGTCTCCAGCTCCCTAACGCCAGGCATTCTGCTGTTGCAGGTGGAAAGACTGCTTTCTGAAGGCTGCGGTGGAGGCTGTGACAGAGCAGAGTCCCCGGGTGGAGAGCATAACATGGCCCTTCGCCACTAGCCTTGCCATGACCACATTTTTCACCAGCGTCCCCCCCTGGATTCAAGATGCAAAGCAGGAGGAGGAAGTGGGCTGGAAACTAGTGCCCAGGCCTCGGGGCCGGGAGGCGGAGAGTCAAGTGAAATGCCAGTGTGAAATCTCGGGGACACCCTTCTCAAATGGGGAGAAGCTGAGGCCTCACAGCCTCCCGCACCTGGAGCAGAGGCCGTATAGCTGCCCTCAGCAGCACTGTGGCAAGGCTTTTGCCTCCAAGTACAAGCTGTATAGGTAGGTGGCACTCCTGGACCTCTTCCTCCCCAGGGTTCCCAGAGACAGAACCAGACACCTGTCTGAAGGTAGGCCTTTGATCGTAGCCGGAGAGTGGAGGGTCATTTACCCCATGAGTGTTCCTTGGAGACCAACCAGGAGGGATAACTCCCTAAAAAAATACAGGGATTTTAAAAAAATTATTAAAACAGTCATCTCTGATGCCACTGCAGGCAGCCATGAACAATCTAGACCAGTGATTCTCAACCTTCCTAATGCGACCATTTAATACAGTTCCTCATGTTGTGATGACCCCCCCCCAACCATAAAATTATTTTCATTGCTACTTCATAACTGTAATTTTGCTACTCTTATGAACTGGGCGACCCCTGTGAAAGGGTTGTTCGACCCCCTAAGGCAGGGGTCCTCAAACTTTTTAAACAGGGGGCCAGTTCACTGTCCTTCTCAGACCCAGGAGGGACGGACTATAGTTTTAAAAAAACTATGAACAAATTCCTGTGCCCACTGCACATAATCTTATTTTGAAGTAACAAAACAAACGGGGCAAAAACACCCTGCGGGCCGGATAAATGTCCTCGGGAGGCTGCATGTGACTAGCGGGCCGTAGTTTGAGGACGCTTGCCCTAAAAGGTCACAACCCACAGGTTGAGAGCCGCTGTTGTAGACTGAGCACTCCTCACCACGACTGTCTCCAACCCCATCAGTATAGTGATGAAATTATTAACTGGGAAGTAGCAATCCGCTTCCGACTCTAGGAGGAAAAGAAGATCCTGTGGTCCAGTCTGTAAAATTTAAAGTGTAGGCTCCAAGAGGGGAAGTCACTGAACTATACACGATCACATGGCTTCTCAGGTGCCAAGCTGAACTCCCAGTCCTGCAGGGCCGATTCTACTGAACCAGTGGAGACTAATAATTTCTGTGGAGTCCCCGCTGCCCACTGGGTCAGGGGCTGTTCTGAAAAGCCAAGTGTCCTGCCTTTTACAGTGAGGTAGCCCGACAACTGGCCCTGGAGTGAAACGGGGCGGGGTAGAATATGGGTCCTCCCCGTACCTTTCCATCAGATAGGTGTGACCATGCCTATCACACCTGAAATAGGATCACTGCAGTCCTCCAGCGACCATTTTCCTACCCAGCTACAGAATGCCTGCCTCACACCAGGAAGCCAGAAAACATGGCATTCCCCTGAACAAGGTGACTAGACAGCAAGCCTCCATCCCTCATCTGGAAGACACAGTTGCTAGGAAGGAGCTAAAACAAGTGGCAGAGCAGTGTGGTGGCATTCTCAGAAATGTCAGGTGTGGGCTGTCAGGGTCATCTGAGACTCCCTGGGTAGCAGTCTCAGGGCCAGGAAAGGTCTGATTCCTACCATAAACCACTGTGTGACCTTAGGCAAATTAAGAAACCCCTTTAGGCCTCAGTTTCTTGTCCTGCAAAGTGAGGGCCCTGGCTGGTCAGTCAATGGGCACCTCCCCGTCCTGTGCTCTGTGTCACGGGAGGTTAATAGCAGCCCACAGAGGCACAAGCATTCTTGAGCATGAGGGTAGTGGGTGTGTTTGTTATCCTTCAGGTAGGCAGGGTCACTGGGTGCTATACTCCAGACAGCTGTGGCATACCTGAGTACACCCAGGCTTCAGGAAAGTCTGTGTTTAAGTCGGGCCTTGCCCACTTACTGCTTGGCAGATGGGGCTGCCTTGTGCCTGAGCCTCCTCATCTGGAGAAGCAGGTTAATGACAGCTCCCATAGGGCCGGGCAAACAGGAAGCCCTCATAGTCTTGCTGAATTGACTGAGTGTACATGGGTGCTGTGCATTACCATCCTGGACTCAAACCAAGGGACAATGGGATGCCAAGCCACAGAAAGCGCTCTCAAAAAATCTTACAGGTTTACCTGTGAACCTGTACAGGGCACAGATAGGCTGGTAATGAAACGTGAATTGTCCTCCCACTCCAAGTCACTGCTGCTCTGTTCCCCAGGTCAGCCGTGGCTGGCTGGCTTATGTAGCTTTTCTGAGACACTTAAATGTGTACCATACCTTTTTAATTTTCAAAAGGGATTGTAGTACATACTTTCCCTTCATTGTCTAATTTTAAAGACTTCATTTTTTTAGAGGAGTGTTGATTTATAAGAAAATTGCTAAGAAAGTTGGGGAATAGAAAGTATGTCTCTGCTGTCAGTAGTGGGTTATACATTGAGCTGCTAACCACAAGGTACAGTGGTTCAGACCCATCAATCACTCCTCAGGGTGGAGATGAGGCTGTCTGTTTTTATAAAGATTTAAAGTAGCAGAAACCCAAAAGGGCAGTTCTACTTTATCCTATAGGTTTGCTATGAGTTGGAATTGATTTGATGGCAGTGGGCTGGGGTAGGGTTCTCAGTTTCTGCTATGATTGACCTCTAGTGTTTGTGGGGTACATTTGTTAGACTGGTGAACCAACTTTGTTACATTTGTGCATAATTTGACATTAGGATTCATTGTATGTATAGCATGTGTATTTTTACACTTAGTTTTTTTTACATGATTCCAAATTCAAAAGGATCTGAAAGGTTTATGCAGTGATAGGTCTCCCTGCACCCAGTTCTTCTCCCTAGAGGCATCAGGTGGTCCTTTCTTATGTATCCTTCCAGAAGTTTTGTAATCAAATGTATATGTGAACATCCACCCTTTTATGTACATAATTCCATCCTTTGGAGACACCCCCCCCATACACACACTTAATGTATTTAAGGAACTAGATGCCTCTGGGTGCATATAAATCAGCCTCATTTTTAAAAAAGAGTCCTTTAAAAAAAGATGTCCCTTAACTTAACCAGTTCCCTTTCCATGGACAAGCGGATTCCCCGAGTGCCGGCTATCACCAACACTGCTGCAGAGGTTTGGCATGGTGGAGGACACCTTTCCCTCATAGCCACCCAATAGGGCAGAGTAGCACAGCCCCTGTGGGTTTCTGAGACTATGTGCAGAAAGCCCTTCTTTCTCCCGAGGAGCAGCTGCTGGTCTCAGATTGCCAGCCTGTGGTTAGCAGTCCACTGTGCCACCAGGGCGCCTTTCTAGGAGATGGTTGTCGTAATGATTGTCACTTGTTCCCTGTTAGCAGGAACCTCAGTTGTTCAGCCAGCCCTTGTGATCCTTGGGCGTTCTCTCTGCTTTTTCTCTGTCCTCCACCCACAGGCACATGGCCACCCACTCAGCCCAGAAACCCCACCAGTGTGTATATTGTGACAAGATGTTTCACCGCAAGGACCATTTGCGGAACCATCTGCAGACCCATGACCCCAACAAAGAGGCCCTCCACTGTTCCGAGTGCGGTAAGAATTACAATACGAAGCTGGGCTACCGGCGCCACCTGGCCATGCACGCCGCCAGCAGTGGTGACCTCAGCTGCAAGGTGTGCCTGCAGACCTTTGAGAGCACCCAGGCCCTGCTGGAGCACCTGAAAGCCCACTCCCGCCGGGTAGCAGGCGGGGCCAAGGAGAAGAAGCACCCCTGTGACCACTGTGACCGCCGCTTCTATACCCGGAAGGATGTGCGGCGGCACCTAGTGGTCCACACAGGCCGGAAGGACTTCCTGTGCCAGTACTGTGCCCAGCGGTTCGGCCGCAAGGACCACCTGACACGGCACGTCAAGAAGAGCCACTCGCAGGAGCTGCTTAAGATCAAGACAGAGCCGGTGGACATGCTGGGCCTGCTCAGCTGCAGCTCCACAGTCAGTGTGAAGGAAGAGCTGAGTCCTGTGCTGTGTATGGCCTCACGGGACGTGATGGGGGCCAAGGCCTTCCCTGGCATGTTGCCCATGGGCATGTATGGTGCCCACATCCCGGCCATGCCCAGCACGGGCATGCCACACTCCCTGGTGCACAACACGCTGCCCATGGGGATGACCTACCCTCTGGAATCCTCGCCCATCTCTTCTCCTGCTCAGCTCCCTCCAAAATATCAGCTTGGATCTACCTCATACTTGCCTGAAAAATTGCCCAAAGTGGAGGTGGATAGTTTTCTGGCGGAGCTTCCCGGAAGCCTCTCCCTCTCATCTGCCGAACCCCAGCCCGCCTCACCTCAGCCGGCGGCAGCTGCGGCCCTCCTCGATGAAGCACTGCTCGCCAAGAGTCCCGCTCACCTCTCCGAGGCCCTCTGCGCTGCTAACATGGACTTCTCCCACCTCCTGGGCTTCCTTCCACTCAACCTGCCCCCTTGCAACCCGCCCGGGGCCACTGGAGGCCTGGTCATGGGCTACTCTCAGGCCGAGGCCCAGCCCCTGCTTACCAGTTTGCAGGCTCAGCCTCAGGATTCCCCAGGGGCTGGTGGGCCTCTGAATTTTGGGCCTCTGCACTCCTTGCCTCCCGTCTTCACTTCCGGCCTGAGCACCACCACCCTGCCTCGTTTCCACCAGGCATTCCAGTAGCCCCTGAGGAAGGCCCCAGCTTGGTTAGCCCTCGGCTCCATCAGGGAGCCTCAGACCCCCGCCATCCTCACCCCCTGAAAGCAGCTGTGCGTTCAGAGCTGGGCTCAAAGGAAAACATCCCAGTGTCTGTACCTGTATGGAGCACTTGGTTTGGGGGTTCAGGCTCTAGGATCCATACCAAGAGGAGCTTTGGCCCCTGCCCGACCCCATGAAAAGATCTCATTCCATAGGACTAGGTATTTTGACTCTTTTCCCCGCCTTCAACTTAAATCGGGAGCCACACTTAGCCCTCCCCCTTTCCAGAACCCCCTTTCTCTGGAGGAGGGGAGGCCTCTTGAAGATGGCAGAAATGGTGAGGGTTTCCCTTCAGATGACCTCAGAGAGAGAGCAGCCCCCCATGCCCTGTCCCCCCGCCTGAAGCCCCTCTTCTGGGCTAACCCACAGACCCAACAGCAGTACGTTTGGTCAGGCCCTGCCTCCAAGGGGTACTTGGCTCCGTAGTCTGCCTCCACTCAGCAGGCAAGAGATGGCCTCTGCCCTTCCCCAGCAACCTCACCCTCTGCACCAACACCTCCATCCTCAGTCAGTGTTGTTCAGCGACGGTACCGTTTACAGTCACCTCAGACACCATTTCACCTCCTTTGCCGATGTGAGCTAGCTGTTGGCCTTAGAGTGATTGCAGTGGACGTTGTTTACACACCATGAATCCATTCCCACCAGTCCGGCCCACTTGGCACCAGCCCCAACCGCTTGGTCCCTGGTGTTAACTGGAGCCCTGTTTACACGGCGGAGTCGGGTCTCGCTGACTTCTCTTCACTTGAGGTCACATTTTTTCCCCTGTGGGGAAATAAACTGACTTTGGACTGCTTCAGTCTCTGCCATCTTCCCTGACCGTGTCAGTTCCGCCGTCGTCGTTGGCAATGGCCACGGAGATGAGCAAGAAGATCGGAGCAGTTCCTCACAGGCCCTCGAGTCTGTGCGTCTCCAAGTCCACCATGACCCGGCATCCTTGCCCTTGTGAGCTGGAGAAGGGAAGACAGGACAGGCACGCCCTGAACATCAGAAGGAGGCATGTTGGGCTCTAGGCTGACCTGACCCCTCGTGTGTGTCTCTTAGCTGTCCTTTGCCCGAGAAGCTGGGGAAGCATCTTGTTGGAATTCGTGCTGTCAACTGAGGACCGGGCACAGAGGACCGAGTCCTAACCTGTGGCTGCATGTTGCCTCTGGCACTCAACTCCTCATCCTGTCTCCTCCATGGACTCAGGGCCTCTGGGCATAGGCTCCTCAGCCCTCATCAAAGACGTTTTACCTTCCCCGGTGGGCCCCTCAGTTTTGCCCCCAGTACCTGGCAAGTTTTCTTGCACCAAACGATTAGTTCTCTTCTGACTCAGGGGTGCTTCCCTGCAACAGACAGCGGAGGCCCGGCCCAGAGCCCAGCCAAGCTCAGCCCTGCTTCATCTCAGTTCTGCGTGGGCTTTGCTCTTCCCACGGTGAGAGGGAGGCTGCCCAGGGACCACCATGGTGAGAACCCCAGCCCTCTGCTCTGATTCAGAAACACACTTCTACCTCTTTACAACTGTTAACTCCTACAGATGCAGCCAGCTGTGTCTGGGCACCTCTCTCAGGCAGGTGCCCCCGCTGGCTTCTCCACTAGGGTTTCAGGATAAACTACCAAGGAACTGCCTCATCACTCAAACCTCACTCCCCTCCCAGACTCCCCTGCTTCTGCTAAAAGTCCCTTTGTTTCCCTATCAGGAACCAAGCAGGTCCCAGCCCAGGCCAGCCCTCCTCATTTAAGGAGAGAGATTTAAAATGTCACTCCCCTGCCCCCTGGTCAGAAGCACTGTGAAGTGAATCTACCTGTGCATGGAGGCAAGGACGCTTGGGATAGCTTAAAGGAAAAAAAAAATATATATATATATAACATATATATATATATGTTAACTTGTCTGGTTAAGTTCAAATCAGACTAGGCTACTTGCTTTTAAAAATGACTTTCAGTGAGCCCTAGGTACTAATTAAGGTTTCTATATATATATAAAATCAAAACACCCTCCACCTTGGTAGGCAGCGCCTCTCCCACATGCTGTGCGTGCTGTCGGGACTGGTGGTGCTGGTGAAGGTGTGTGGGGACCCATTCTCTGTTGGGGCTCTATTGCTGGACCCTGGCAGCCCTCCTCCCACTCCCTGCCCCTTCTCTTCACTCTTGGGTCATAGAGGCAAATGGGAAAAGGAGGTCTCTGCCTGCTTGCCACTCCCCCTAAATCCTCATCCTCCATTAATGATGCTGGTAAACTCATAAGACATGCAAAGCCTCTTTAAAATCTGCTCACTGGGGCAGGCCCCTCGCCCCTCTTTGTCTCTCCCCTCCCCAAAGTGTCCTCACCATCCGCTGTAGGAATCTCCCCATCACTGTGAACTTCGCTGATGCAGGAGAATATCTGTTTTGTCTTATTTTGGACCATGGTCACCAGCTGTTTGTTAAACCTCCCTCCCCAAATTAAAAACAAAAAGGAAGCCTCATTGGCCTGGGTGTTCAAGGGATAAGAATAGCTTTTTCTTACACTCAGTACTCAGACCCACTTCAGCACCCTTCTGGAGGCCCTGAGAAGCTGGTGTGTATGCGTGTGTATAGGGCATCTGCCCAGACAGTAGACGTGACACGTGGCAATGACCAAACAGGGACCAGAAGGAAGAGATGTTCCCCTTGCTCGCCACCTTTCCTTGCCTCTGTCAGCCCCCTCATCCCCTCCACAGTAGCTGGTCAGGAGGCCCAAGGGGGTGGCATGCCCAGGTATGTCAGCTCAGATCTCTGCACCATCCTGAAGAGGCGGGAGGATGGAAAAGAACACCAAGTTTGTTTGTTCCCCTCATGGTATTTTGTTTGTGAAAATCTGGGAAGCAGGTGTAATTAATTTTTTGCGCATAGATACTGTCCTAAGTTGAAAATTTTCCCACTGCCTGGAACTTTCCCTCATAGTCCTTTAAGCTCCTCCTCCCCTTTTGGTAGCTGTTTTCTTGGCTCCTTCACCTCCCCTTTTATCTAGGAGCTGGGTTTTTTTTTCTCAAGCACGATTTTTTTTTTAACTGTTGCGTACAGGATCAATATTTTGCTTTCTAACAAGGATATTTATGTAATATGAAACTTTGCCTTAGGCAGGTATTGGCCAGAACCACCCAGAAAACCCTGGGACCCCCCTGGCCTCCCCTGGAGCTCTGAACCTGCTGTGGAAGGAACTGGCCAAGCCTGTCGCCACTGGAGTCAAGGGTCTGGGGAGTGGGCCAGCAAGCCCCGGTCCCAACGGAGGACCCATTATGGTCATGTCTCCATGGAAGGGTCTGGAAGTATTCCAGCACCATTCTTGAGGTATCAGCGACACAGCTGATTCTCCACCCCCACACTCCCCCACCTGGGAACAGTGGGCTCAAGAATGAACACCTGCCAGGCCTCTCCTTGGGCCCTCGCCTCCCAGTGGCCAAGGTTTTGGAGCCACCCCTTTGAAATGCCAGATTATTTAAAAAGAGAAAAAAGAATACAAGACAAAATCCTTCTAGCACTTTGTAAACACAGTGAATAACCTCTTGGAGTATTTTTTGGCTTTATATAAAACAAGGTTTTTATTGTAAAATATAAGTGCCATTAGAAAATGCACAGGGCGTATCTTTGTTAAAGTAGATTTTTCAATGTTTTACAGAATTACATTTTCATGGGGAAAAAAGTTTTTATAATGAAGTTGTTTATTAAAAACTTCTGAATGATGTGTTTTGCAGCTGTGAACCTCTCTTGACAGGGAAGGTTTGGGGGAGGGGGACAAATTGGAGTCTCTGGACATCGGCAGACGGTAGCCACTCCTCCCATGAGTACCTTCTACAAACCATCCTTTTAAAGAAAATACCTTAAAATATCTTTGAGGTAGATGGCATCATTTTAATCACTCTTCATCATGCCAGGGTTAGAAAGCCCAAGTGAAGTTGACAGAGACGGAAATGCCCAAGGTAAGAGCAGTGGTTAGGACAGGCCCAGCAGCTGAAAGGTGGGCTGTCTCTGCCAAGGAGATTGGTGTGGAGGCTACGGGAGACCTTTGACCCGAGGGCAGGAGAATAAAACACATCTCAAACATCTGCTCAAGGCTGACTCCTCCACCCTCTATCCCTCCATCCCTCCTTTACCAACTCCGACCCCATCTGTCTCTCCCAAGTCTGTCTGTCTCCTCCCACTCCAGGTTTGGTAATCTTTTGCAGTGACCGCACAGTGCTCACGGACAGTAGTCATGATTATGGAATTTATTGGGGACTGGAGCACAGTACTATTCCAGATAAGAAATGCACCCTTTTACCAGGAATGCCTCTTCTCAGCCACCTGTAGGTACACCTCTCTAGTCCCTGGGCTCGCCACACAGCCCTTTTGTCTCTGCCCTGCTCGAACAATGTTACAAAGCTGTGACTTTTTTTTAGCACAGATGCCCAAAGCGCACTCCACAGCCTGAAGGCACTCACCTTTAGGTCCACGAGTGAACAAAACCTGGTTCCCTCAAATGGCTGGAGACCCCTCCACCCACAATGCCTAGAGGTATTCACTGGGCTAGGAAGCCCACCACTCTGTCCCATGCTCTGGCTCATGGTTCTGCTGCCGCTCCAATAGCGTCAACACTGTTTCTTTAATTGAGGAGGTTCAGCAGGCAGGGATCTCGATCCAGAAGATGTGGCTCTACTTCATGGTAATGAGTCCCCCCCGCCCCCCCCACAATCCCGCTTCTGAAATGGCTGACTTTATACCCAGTAGGATGGCAAAATTGCCCAGTTCTTTTTTTAAATTGCCTAGTTCTTGAGTTGGTTGCAGGCTGATTTTTACAATCACAATTCTGTGAACAGCCACTCAAAATTGAATCATGTAACCCTATCAGCTTCTTCCCCCAACTTTCACCCAAACCTATCGGGAAAAGAGGAACTAAGTCCCTGTCTGCAGGGATTATGGACTGGTTAGAAGAGCCACACCACGCTGCGTCACACTGCCCTATCTTGTGCATGTGTGACTTCTATGCTGTCGTGCCTCCAGAGCTCATTCACCCAGTGCTGACCAGGAAGAAAACAGGACCCTTCCTAGGCCCTATCAGAGAGAGTCCTTTGTTCACAGAAGCCCTTGTCCACATCTGATTCACTGGCTCTAGAGGAGTTGTGTGTGCCCTTCTAGAACCAGTGATGGGAAAGCTGAGAGGAAGGGAGAAGTAATTTCCCAAAGGAAGTCCCCAGTGCCATGAGGATGAGAAGTGGATGTTGATTGTCCACGTAAAGAGAAAGATCTGTCTAGTCACCCATTGCCTAAAGTCTACATTACTAAGTGGCAGAGCTAGGACCTGGTCTGTCCTATATGTATGCCAGCCATTGGGTTCAGGTGAATAGAGGTTATCACCTGAGGACATGCTAGTCATCACCATCCTGGGCCCTGTCCCTTATGCTGAGAGCCTCCCTTGGCTCAGACTGAACTGGCTTCCTGTGGCTTGGAGCTACGGTTACAGAGCAAGAGCTAGAGTGCCAAGCAGTGCCATTCACTTCTGGAGTCCAGCCCAAGTGCCGTGGGACAATCAACATGGTGTTCGTGTGCAGGTGCCCCATGTCTGAAGGAATGGGCTGCTCCGGGAGCTTGCTGCCTGTTAGCTGAGGGACAGCTACAGAAAGGACTCCAGCCTGGCCTGGGGGCTCAAGTGGAGGAACCCACTTCCTGGGTGGGAGAAGGTGTACAGCTTTGTGGAGCAGGTAGCAGGGGCTCCCAAGTGTAGATGGAGGTGTTGAGAGCTTAAGTTTGGGAGCTAGGACCACAGGACTGTAGCTGTGATGGCCAGGGCTGGTCCACTAGGGGCTTCACTTATG